TTACAAATCGCCACTTAGCGCCTCAACCCGATTAGCCCTGATTTCCGACCCATTAGCCCACGATCCACGGTCCACGAGCCCACAACCCACGGCCCATGACCCACGAATATTTATGAGAGATTAATTGATTTATTTAAGACAAAACAATTCTCGGCTTGCCTACGGCAAGCCTTGAATTGAGAACCTTTTGAAACACCAAAAATTTTACTTTCCACTACGCTACTATGGATTTCTGAAAAATACCAGTAGTTAGTAAATATATAGTTTGAAAACTTTTTTTGGAAAGCGGTTTTGACCAATAAATCCAACAGAAGATAGGGAATCAAGATCCAGATTCAAGATGCATGCAAAAAGAACCATTTAATTTCCTTGCTTTAAGATTGACAGATCTAAATATCCACCGGAAATATGGATTAATTTCATGCTCATAACAGTTAGTTCTCTTTTTTGCTTTAAATTATTCTAACTGCTTTCAACAATAGAATATTAAGAAAGTATCTAGTGATTCTGATCCATAAATATATTAATAGCATGTCAAAATGATGTTTTAAGCGTATTAACCTATTATCAGGAGTAGATTGACGCGCTGATTCTAGAGTTATTATTTCACAATATCTTAGCATAAGCCAGGACTTAATTTAGATGCACAAACTCAGACTTGAGTATAAATCCTACTAGCTAGAACGCCAGCATTCAAGGAAGGATAAAAGCACTCGTTTGAAAAAGTTTAAGCTACTAGGTCTCTTCATGGTTTAACCGGATTTGAATCCTCTCCACTACTTTTAATCTCAAGCGTTGATTATTTAGTAGGCGGTTATGATACAATCTAAATCTAACACTTACAATACCCCCGTGTATTGCACTCATTCCTAATTTGCACTAAAAGAAAAAAATCATAACCATCAACTAGATAATCAATGGCTGTGATTATGTAGTGGTCCCTCCACTATTTTTTTTGTAGTGGAGAGGATCCGAATCCGGTTTAACCACCCCCGATGGGTATGATTCTGATAAAATTTGTATTCGCATTCATCCTCCCAACGATCCACTAGGATTTGTTTAAGATAATTCTGATTAAGATAATTCTGACTAAACTGTACCTGCTTCTACACTATTATTATATTAGAGCGTCATCAAAGTCAGTGGTCGTTAAGGGCCCCACAATCTTTAGATGTATAGGGGCTGTTCGTTTGCATAAAGAGTAAGGGGAAAGTCTGTCAAAAATGTCAGTTTTGACAGATTTTCTTGTAAAAACGTATCTTTTAGAGACGTTTTTACAAAAGATATATTTTTGCAAAAAAACCTGTCAAAACTGACACTTTTGATAGGCTTTCAACCCATTTACCCTTTAAAAGAGGCAATCAAACGCGCCCATAGTAGCGTGCCAGTAGTTTGAAAAACTATAGTCATCACTGACGATTTGTTTATGTTCAAAATATGAACAAACCATTTATGTCATCAATTCCCCCAACGACCCCGGCCCCTTGTTGGATGTCCAAGTCACCATGGTCCTGTGCCAATGAATCAATTCTGTCACTGTGCAAGAACGACATATACAAAACTTTATTGCATGCAATCATAGCATTGAAATTGGCAGCATCCAATTCAGGAAATTCAAGAACACAGCACACTAATCCGACCTTTAATTTTACTCAAAAAGAGAATTCAATCTTTAATCGTTGAATATATCCAACTCCTTGCTTGTATTTTTTGTCAGATTAATAGTGCATTATGTGAAAGGGAACCTTTTAGATCTGTATACTAATTCTAAAAAAAAAAACTGTATAACTGTAATTATTCGAGTTTGATTGGGAATTGGATATACCAATACATTTACCCGCGACTTGAAAGGTCAATTGCATACAATATCCATTGTTTTTGTCTGAGATATGCGTCAGTCAGGAGAGAAAGTAACCAGTTGATTTGGTCCATAAGATTGATGATGCATTTAGTGTGACATCGATTCTTGAATCTCAAAATCCAATAATCTAGATTATTGGAGATTATCTTTGTATTTTAATTCAAAAAGCAAACGACAAAATAAGTCGAAAGAAATACATCAAAAAGGTGGCAAAACAACAAACAGAGTGGAACTGTTGACGGTGCCTGTGATCTATCATAGGCTGCACTGCTCCAAGTTTGTTTCGGTTTGGATTTTCTCGTAGATTCTTTTCTATTCAGGATTGTGCTCTACAAATAGAGCCGCATATTGTAAAAGAGTGTAGAGAAGAAACAAGAGGGAGAAATCTAATATTTGTGAAGTTCTTTCGGTGAGACTGAGAGTGTCCATTGCGGATTATGTGAGGTTCACGAGAAAGACATAGTCTTGTATAGCCTCGGCATGAAAAGGCTAAAATCTCTTCGGATAGATGCAGGCGATTTCCGAGCCATGTAAATTTCGGGTCTTTGGTCTGGTATTACTTTCCCCGTAATTCACTAATTTCTAGTTCATTCGATCTTTGCTCTTCTCGTGGTTTCTCTATTGCCGAGATGATCGATCGTCCCGATAAATTAAACGAAGGAGATCTAGTTGAATATATCGAGACTTGCCGCATCGGTGCACCGAGATGTCCTTTTGACGTATCATTAATATTGCCACGTACAATGTATACTTTCTCCGTTGGCTTGACATTCCTAGCATTGAAGAGCAATTAAATGCACTCTCACCTTACCATCCCAAAAACAAACTTTCCATGACTCGACCGACGCAATAACTAATACACACTACCCCAACCAAACCCATCAAAGTCTAAACCTCAGCTAGAATCCAGAGCTAGCCCCAACACATGGACTGCTTCATCCTCCTCCTCTCGCTCCTAGGCCTCATCTCCCTCCTAAGAACCTCCTTCCACCTCCTGCAATGGCTCCACCGCAACTTCCTCCGTCGTCCCAACCCCCTCGCCCGAGCTAGAATCCAGAGCTAGCCCCAACACATGGACTGCTTCATCCTCCTCCTCTCGCTCCTAGGCCTCATCTCCCTCCTAAGAACCTCCTTCCACCTCCTGCAATGGCTCCACCGCAACTTCCTCCGTCGTCCCAACCCCCTCGCCGCGGCCTCAACCTGATCCTCATCAGCAGAAGTGCTGAAAGACTCGACTCCGTCGCAAAAGATATCAAGATTCAGTCTCCCGGGACACGGCCGAAGCTCAGGTATTATTGAAGTATATATCTTTGTTTATTGTTTGAAATTCTATATTATATCTGTTTAACATTCTTTTGTAGGAACAAGCTGAAATAGCAAGGAGGAACCGCAATGCGCCCCGCAGTTACGAGCATCACGGGGGCTCCAGGTCCTTCAGCCAGCATTATCATCAATTGGCGCTTGAGGTATATAATATATTAGCTCTTAGGTTATCAATTTGAGTATAATTTATGTGTTATGAGTTAATGGTATATGTGAATAAAATAGGGAAGGGGAGAACTCGGGCATTTTGCAGATCGTATTCTGACTGGTTGGAGTCCAAATTACGCCGATGAAGTGAAGAAAGCGCAGAACCGGGATCTGGCTGTAAGTAGCAGTTAATTTGTATATTTAATTTTTATACCAATGCATTTTAAATGTGTTAGAATTGACCGGGTTGTTTTGGTATATCGCAGGAGAAATTACATGCTAAGGTGCAGGAGCAATTATCACAGACTCAGGTCGATTCTAACACTCCGACCCGATTAAGTAGAGAGGAGGAGGATAGCATCATCGAGACGGTCATTGGACCGAGTAGGAAGAACAGATACAGGTGGAGAGGATCCGAGCATCGGCCGTACGAGTCCAGTAGCACCTACGAGTCTGCAGCTCCACCAGGATGCAGTTCTTCTCAAGACCCGACTATGGAGCAGCGGATGAAAGCGATGGAAGATTGGCAGTCGCGTCGGGAGTCGGAGCTACTCCAGATGGCGGAGGAAGAACGGAGGCGTCGGGAGCAGAGGGAGCTGGAATTCACCCAGTTTATATCGACTCTACCTTCTGATGCTCAGGAGGCATATAGGAGACGGTTTTTGGCGGATCAGGTAATATATATATATATGTATATTTCTTTTTTAATTAAATGAATTAAATATAAAATTCTTACTTAGTTACGAGTATGCCGTGTGACTAAATGATATCACACAAACTGTTACACACAAACTATATCTCTCTCCGAAACACAACTAAAATTATATACTTAATGTTTTTATGTGATGGTGGTGTTGATGGTGCGTGCATGCGTAGCGATGGTTGTATTGGATAGTGAGTTGGTTAGTTAGTTGTTATTTTGTTTTGTTGTGGGGCGTTCGTGTGTAGGGTCGTTGGTTATGTTGTTGGTTGGTGGGTGTTTTCGTCGTGGTGGTGGTGGTGGTGGTGATGATGATGATGATGGAGGGGGAGGGGGTGGGGGGGGTAGGAGTTTGGTTGGTTCGTGGGTGGGGTTGGGGGATTGTTATTGTGGTGGTGGTGGTGTTATTATTGTTGTGTTGTGGTGCCGCATGCAGATGTATTGTCGTGATTGTTATGTGCGTGCTTGATGTTGGGTTTGGTCGTGGTGGGGGAGGGGGAAGTGTGGGGATTGGGTTGAGCTGGGTACTCGTGCGTGCGTGTGTGCGTGTCGGTGGAGATAGGTACGGGTGCGTGCGTTGTTAAAAACATGTGTGTGCTTGCGTATAATACATAAATATATGCCATGATACTCTCTCTGAATCATATAACATGTAAGAATATGCCATGATACTCTATTATTGCTATACTTGCATGTTATGCCTTGTTGTTTTATAATTTGTTACTTTACTGTAAAATTCAGTTTTTGATGATGTACGTATTGCTCTATAACGTTTTTTTTATTTTTTTAGGCTGGGACTTCTCGACAAGGTGGAGTTGGTGATGAGGATGATGATGATCGGGACTGAGTTTATTTGTTTTAACATTAAAAACAATGGGTGTGCTGTATAAATAACATTATAAATGTTGGGATATTTATTATGTTTTTAGTGAAATAATTGTTATATATGCGTGAAATATGTGTTAATGCATGTGTTGTGTAATATATTGTACAGGTTATTGTTGTAAAATATATTGTACAGGAATTTCTATTTTTCAAAACAATTTTTAAAAAAGTTTCTGTCCATTTTTAGCGACGGAATTTCCGTCGCTAAAATAACTTTTAGCGACGGAAAACTGACACGGCAGATTAGCTTTCAGCGACGGAATTTCCGTCGCCAATATTTATTGGCGACGGAAAAGTTTATAGCGACGGAAATAGGGCGACGGAAATACGGTCGCCAAAATATTGTATTAGCGACGGAAAATCCGTCGCCAAAAATAATAGCGACGGACAAATATATAGCGACGGAAAATACCGTCGTCAAAAAATAATACAAAAACGACGGATTTTCCGTCGCTATATTTCCGTCGCTAAAAATTAGCGACGGATTTGCCGTCGCTAAAAGAAGCTTTAGCTACCCTCACAATAGCGACGTAGTTTTAGCGACGGAATTTCTTTTTTTCCGTCGCTAAAACTTTAGGCGACGGATTTCCGGCCTTTAGCGACGGATTTGTCCGTCGCTAAAAGTCCTGTTTCCAGTAGTGGTAGCCTTCGATTTTACCGAGGTGCAGTGGTGGTATTCACAGCAGCGTGTATCTGTTTTATTACGTGCATATCTCTCGTGCTCGGTAGAATATATGCCATTTACCTCTTTATTCCTTGTTCCGTACCGAGGTTTTCTACATTTAAGTATCTAAACATGTATAGATATAGGATTGATTGCACATAGATTCTCTTTACCATCGCATTGGGTTACTTACTATACTATTAAGTTTGTGGTTTTTCTATAGAGTGCTCATAAGCACTCTATAAGAGAGGAGAGAGAGAGAGAAATGAATTATGCATATAAATTAATGCAAATCAGGGGGGCTCATGAGCTATTCATTTCTCTCTATCTCTCTCCTCTTTTATAGAGTACTGCCCATGGGCACTCTATAGAAAAACCGTTAAGTTTGATGTTGACGGATAGACTCTTTGAAACTGAATGCCATAAAATTTTGCGGTAGATGGACCCCTTTAATATCCCAATTCCGCCCTTCCTTTCTTAGAGTAAACCTCACCGTAAACATTGCATTATCCAAAAGATTGAGGGCACTGGTTAGTTCAATTTGAGGGGATATATCTGTAAATATCAAACTTAGAGAAAGTATCTAGTGGGGATGACCTATGCCAACTGTGAACCTAGAAGATGTCAACCGTTGGATCAGGGCACAAATCTCGAAACCTAATGATCCAATAGTTGATATCAGTTGGGTGCACATTTAATGTCATGGACCCGAGTGCACTTGATATTTTTCTGTAATGAGTGAGATAACATGACAACACATGCTTCTATGTGCACTTTATTCATAGATATTAGATGACTGAAAATATTCTTCTCTGAATCTAATAGGAAGACATCAGGCACGGAATACAAAGAGTGGAGGAGGCGATCGAGGGGTTGGACATCGGCATTCTGATAAACAATGCGGGGGCGACGTACCGGAGGGCGTCGTATTTCGACGAAGCAGAGGAAAGGGTGTTGGGGGAGGTGGTGAGGGTGAATGTGGAGGGAACAAGTTGGATGAGTAGGGTTGTGATGAAGGGGATGGTTGAGAGGGGACGAGGTGCGGTTGTCAATGTTGGGTCTGGTGCTGCTTGTGTGCTTCCTTCATTTCCCCTCTACACTGTTTATTCCGCTACCAAAGCGTAAGTTTCTCAGAATTTGAATTATCTTATGTTATTGAAATTATCATAAAACTTTAGGCACCGTTTGGCAAAGGGTTAAGGAAGAGGGATTAAGGAGAAGGGTTAACTTAGTTAATCCATT